AAACTTCACACAACAGATTTACAATAAAGTTTATTTTAATAAAAATTAATAATAAAAAAATTGCTCAAGTACCTTAATAACGAGTTTATTCATCATGCTGCTACCGGCAAGGTAACCAAGGTCTTTTTCCTTTTTTTTTCGATCATAAAACAATGAAATAAACACTGATTAACAACAGTTTACAAGAAATAATTAAAACTTCATTGTGTCACAGGCGCCTGTCGCTTTCATTGTAACAACTACACTTTCCCACAGCCACTGTTTATTATTTATTTAAATACAAATTTTAAACAAATTAAAACAAAATAAGAAAATATTTAAAACGGCACGTGTGTGGGTGTTGTTTGCATAATAAATTATATATTTTAAGAATAATATTTTTAAATCAAATTCTTAAACATTAGACATTAAACTTAAAACATGCTTTGTAATGTCATTTTAAAGCGATTAAAAATTGACGTACATAAATTTTGAAAATGTAAACAATAACTTTAACTCATTCCATTTAGAACGAATAACAATAATGACGTGTTTTTGTTTTATGAAAACAAAAACTTTTAAACAATTATTGCTATTGTTTTAACAAACATTAAAATACAACAACAGCATATTTCTGTGTGATGTCATAATTACCTTGATTTCTTTACTTTTTTTAATTATTCTTTTTTTTTGTATTTTATTTAAATGACACTTTATATCCAGAGTATATGCTCTCTGTGTGTATTTATATTTGTTTGGTTGTTTATACATATTTACTCTCATAATAATGTTAATTTCATTTCCATAAATAACATTAAAAACACAACAACAATACATAAAGAAAACAATAATAGCCAGAATAAAAAGAAGAAGCAACAACAATAACAACAACAACAAAATCGCGCATTAAATACAGGAATTCGATGATGAACTGATTTGCATACAATAGTAGTAGCGGGTTGTTTTTGTTTTTCTGTGTTGTTGGTGGTGTAGGTGATGTCTGTTATGCCCTACAGCTACAGTGGGTATCATACGACTAGCCTACAGTCTAGTGTATAGTCTATAGTCTAGTCTATAGTCTAGTCTAGTCTAGTCTATAGTCTAGTCTATAGTCTATAGTCTATAGTCTAGTCTATAGTCTAGTCTATAGTCTAGTCTATAGTCTAGTCTATAGTCCAGTCTATAGTCTAGTCTATAGTCTAGTCTATAGTCTAGTCTATAGTCTAGTCTATAGTCTAGTCTATAGTCTAGTCTATAGTCTAGTCTATAGTCTAGTCTATAGTCTAGTCTATAGTCTAGTCTATAGTCTAGTCTATAGTCTAGTCTATAGTCTAGTCTATAGTCTAGTCTATAGTCTAGTCTATAGTCTAGTCTATAGTCTAGTCTATAGTCTAGTCTATAGTCTAGTCTATAGTCTAGTCTATAGTCTAGTCTATAGTCTAGTCTAGTCTATAGTCTAGTCTATAGTCTAGTCTATAGTCTAGTCTATAGTCTAGTCTATAGTCTAGTCTAGTCTATAGTCTAGTCTATAGTCTAGTCTATAGTCTAGTCTATAGTCTAGTCTATAGTCTAGTCTATAGTCTAGTCTATAGTCTAGTCTATAGTCTAGTCCAACGTTTCCCAAATGGGGGTCCGCGGACCCCTAGTGGTCCGTAGTAAAATCCTAGGGGGTCCGCGAAGACGAACGAAAAAAACATGAATAAACAATATTCTTTTATATGTATGTACAAATATCTCCAATTTTTGTGCAATAATCCCAAATTTTTTGGTGACTTTTGAATTTTATTTTTTCGGTTGTTTATCAGGAAGAAGCTAGGCCCTACAAATTTATTGTATAACTTTTATAAAGTAAAGTATTGCGTGTTTTGTAATTTTTATTTCCTGTATATGTACTGAAATAATGGTTTTTATTTCAGACAAATAATACTCTGCCTTACAATTAAATTAGGGATACTGGTATTCCGGAGTATGAAGTTCAATTCAAAGACAAGCTTATTACAGATTTAAGTTTATCAAATTGTAAGCAAAAGTGTTCTTGTTTGAAAGTACTAAAATTATATATTTTCAAAACAGAGGTGACTCTTTATGTATCTCTTTATAAATATTCCAATCCGACGTGATACACAGATTTTAACTTGATTTTGTCGACCAATACATATTATTAAATTAACATCAGAAAATCCATAGCGTTTCGCGTAAATATTAGGGTGATCGATTATTCGACATTTTCCAAAAACCGGTTTTCGAATAGTTCGAATAGATGACATTTAGGTTAACCGGTTTTTCATTATAAATAAAAAAATATATTTTAATTTGAAAAACTTAATGTGATTAATGTGAAATGATTTTTAACAGTTTAAAAGATTATCCCCCTTATTCACAAACAAAATTTTTATTTTATAAACAGTTTAAAAATAAGATTTTATATGGAAATTTTGTTTTATAAACCTTTTATAAAATAAAAATGTTGTTTGTGAATAAGGGGGTATATCTTTAGATCTAGTCGTCTGATTTACATTATTTCATTAATATAAAAAAATTAGGAAAAAAGTGGGACACTTCTGTTAAACATAAGGTAATCCTAGCTTATTTTAAAAGCCCTGTTTAGGAAATTTGCATAGGCATTCCAACACTTCCATAAAATTTCAGCCGTAAATTAATTATTGTAATTGGAATATAATCTTAAGATTGATAAAATTTTATCAAACAGTTATCAATTACAAAGCAAATGAAAGTATTCGAAACCGGTTTTTAAAAAGTGAAAAAACCGGGTTATTCGATATTCGAAAAATCAACATTAAGAAAAAACCGACACTGGTAAAGCAGAAAAAACCGGTTGAAAAATCGAGTCGATCACCCTAGTAAATATGTAGCCAAAAACCATGAAGTAAAATAATTCGTTGGTATTTTAAAATTCAAATTTAAGTTCCAAATTCACAGTACTTTAACAAAGAGTTCAAATCATATATTATGCGGATAACGCATTCCGCAACAACATAGAAGGAGTCCAACTTTCTTATATTATTTTCCCGAAAACTTAGCTCACTTACTCAGTTCACCCTTTGCAATCGCAACAAATTTTTGAAACGTGACTCCTTAAGCACATGTGACAATATTTGATAAAGAAACCTCTTCGCTACCTTGAAGAAAAATGAATATGAAAGATCTCACGATCATAAAATTAAACATCATGTTAACATATCAACAATGAAGTCAGTCTATCTTCAAAACATGCAATTGAAAACCTATCTGAAATATTATATATTCTCAATGTACGGGAATATTTTATAGATATGACATCTCTACATTTATTAGACCTAGGGATTAATGGACTAGGTCAATTTTCGGATGGACAATTATTTAGAACAATAAGATATCAAAATATGTATGGGGGTCCGCGAAATTAAATAAGTTCTTCAAGGGGTCCGCGAAGTAAAAATCGGTGGGAACCGCTGGTCTAGTCTATAGTCTAGTCTATAGTCTAGTCTACAGTCTAGTCTATAGTCTAGACAATAGTCTAGTCTATAGTCTATTCTATAGTCTAGTCTATAGTCTGATCTATGGTCTGGTCTATAGTACAGTCTAGTATTTTTAAATATTTTTTTTTTATGGTAATTATTTGCCACTTCCGACCACTGTACGTATGTTTGTGCAACTATTATGTGTTTTTGGTAGTATGTTTAAATATTTAACTGTTTTTTATTTAAAGCATTTTCATTATTATTTTAAAACATTTTAAAATAATTAAAAGTTTTAGTTTTTAAATAATATTATGCATAAAATTAAACTTTATTTCAGGGATGGAAAACAACCTAATGTTTAGCGAAACAGGGAAATCTCAATAGTTTGACAAAGCTTAAAATAAATAATTAGTTGAAATTAAATTAATTTAAAACAATAACAATAAGAAACAACTCTACAAAAATTTTAATATTAGACAAGTGAAAAAGTAGTTTCGTTTTTTTTAACAACAGCTAACAACACATCAAGGTCTGAGAATGTTTATAAAAAAACTCATATAAATTTAGCAAATTTAATTAATTATTTGTAATGGTGTTTTATGTGTTCTTTGAAGGACCATAGAAGACAATGACATTTGTGTTATATAAAAGCAAATAAAAGGCGTTAAATATACAGACAGTTTTCCAGCAATCATTATTTATGCTAAAAACCATGTGAATTCTTTAAAATTTCAAACGACTTCCTTATAGACCAACAACAAAAAAACAGAAAAGGAAAAATAGAAAGAAAACCGCTAACAGAGAAATAACAACAATAATAATAAATATCATGCTTAAAACCAAATACCATGACAATACCAGTAAAGCACGGTGTAAAAAATAAAACCTGACTACGGCATTAAACCCCTCAGTTGTCTAGCGAAAAAAAACATGGCAAAAGTACAACTTAAATAACTGATAAGAAAAAAATAAATGAATCACGGCGATGACTTAAAAAATATTTGAGTTAAAAAATATTTAAAAAATATATGTATATAGAAAACATTATAATTTTGTGCAACCACTAAAGTTGCGCATGCGTAACCATTCACTAAACAAATAACAACAAATTTATGGAGAAGTAAACAATTCTTTTGAATATTTTTATATATTTTAAACATTTTTTTATATAAACAAAAAAAATGATATAATATTTAAGAATGCAAACAATTATTTAGTTGTTAAGCAACTCATTTACTAAAAAAAAAAGATTCTAGATTTATCAGTTTAATAATATGTTCTACTACGATAGAAATCTTTCCACTAAAACAAAAAATAAAAATAATAATATTTAAATATATATGTTTATTTAAATAATAGATTTTAACTAAAGAATAAATAATGAAACTACACCATTTCCTATTGTATTTAAGAAATATCCGATAGAATTAATGGGTTAAACGGAATGAATTCGAAATGACGAAGGTGAATAACATAAAATTAAAAACTTCAGAAATTTACTCTTGAATTAACATATTAGGAACTGGTGTAAATATAGTTAGTATATCCAATATTACTTACTATGCTCAAAGGACAACTACGTCCCGACTTCAAACCACCCGCCGTTGAAACATTTAATTGATCCATAAATGTTGACACTTTACTGGGGTTTTGAGCACCACCTTGACGGCCCGTGGCATCTATTTCTTTATTCTCTACTTTTGTACTGGAATGATGATGACTGTGTCGTATTTTTGGTAAAATTAAACGTATAATGAAACCATAATTAGGTGGGGATGATAGAATTCGGGTGCATAATTTATGCTGTGTAACCGCAATGGCTTTATTGAATTCCAATATTAGACTAGATTCTTTGCCTTCGCTTTCGATGAAATGCTCCTCCTGAAGATTGCAAATCGGTTCAAATGTGGGATTCGAACGAAAGTCAACATCTAAAAAAGGAAAAGATAAAATATAATTATTTTTTTCATTCTACCATTTTGTTTAATAAATCTTTGTCATTAGCTATAACAACTATTAGCTCTTCTTTAATGATTTATGTCGGAGACTGCCAGCTAAACAAGAAATATTGAACAATTTACTTGTCTCATAACTTAATCGAGTACAACTAGAGGGGAAAAAAACAGAAAACTTTTTCCTAGCTGCAACTAACTAACAACCACACAGTCCACACAGCTATATCCTCAATTCAACTTGGTTAAACTGCTGTCATTGTCAAAAAATCTTAATAAAACAACAAGAACAAAAACAATGGCTGTCATTTGTTCTCCAAACAAACAACTTTCTAACTGTTAGAATAAGTTGCATACACGAATTGTGCAAGAGTTAATGGGTCAAAAAAGATTGTTGCTGCAACCGCCAACAACTTTTTAAGATTTGTTTTTACGACCACCATAAAGTCATAAATAAAACGTAACAATGTTGCCAACAACAATAACAAGGAATAAGATTTTTTTATCTTTTTTTTGGTTAAACCATTCAAATGCCAATTCATTCATATATTTTCCACACAATTGCCCGGTATATAAATAATAAACAAATAAAAAACAACAACAACAAACATATTATTTAACGGTTTGTAATCCAATGAAGAAATATTTAACAGGAAAGAAGTGACTGCTCGAGGCATAAGAATTGCTATAGCAAAGGTGTAGAGGAAGATCAAAAAAAGTAAATGGCGAAACGAAACTGTTGTTATCGCTCTAGTGAACGCATATAAATTAGTGTGTTTGGTTTAGCTGGTAGGCGGACAGACGTCGGTCGAACAAATACTAAATAAACCGTTTGATCAAAGAGCAAAATAATAACGAGCTTTAAGTTTGTCGGTTATGAACGAATTTGTTTTAAGCTAAACTCTTAAACTGTTCCAATTACGCAGGCCGACAAATGTTTAACCCAGTGACTAAAGTAATTATTTTCTAAAGGATTGAAATACTAAGCTGAATACGAAACTGACTGAGAATTACTCCTTCACATGCGGTATTCGAGATATTGTGTCCAGAGTTTTGAAAAAACGCCATTTTTGATCATTTTTAAATCGTTATAACAGTGGCAAGAAAACTTAACTTATGAAATGTTGTATGCCATCTGTCAGATTTAAAATAAATGCTTAACATCCGAGATATCTTCACCTTAATTTTTCACATTTTTTTCTTATAAAAATACCTTTTGAATTGTTTAAAAATCTGCTGTAATTGCTCATCTGTTGAAGTTGACGGACGGACAGACATCTCTAAATCGAATCCGAAGGTGATTTTGAGCCGATTGAAACAACCTCAGGTAGGTGTGGATCCATTATCATTATTCGTTCTAAACAATATTTATAAAGCCTAATACCCTCCGCACTATAGTAGTGTAGTTTATAAATACCACGTATATACCGAAAACCATGAGTTTTTAAGCTTTAGGTGAAGACGATCGGGCCGATAACTGTGATTTTATTCTTCACTCGCGTTGGTGTAATACAACAAATGTAATTACAAAAAATGTATGGAGTTATATATTGTCTGCATTAACTATGTAAGAGCTTTCGCTTGACCTCAGAGTGACTGCTGGATACCATAAAATACTCGGACCCTACCCTGGTGGAGACCATTTAAACTCAATTTTATACTGGTGGAGTACACATATTTAGTCTAGAATAGTAGACTATTTTATTGACTAGTGACTTATACTAGTCTATTGACAAGTATATTAAATTGTTTATTGGTTAGCCTATATATTAGTCTATAGACTAGTCCATGTCTGCAGTGAAAACTAATACCACCAAAAAATTTCGATATAGTAACTAAAAAATTCTAAAATATTCTTAAATTCAATTTAAAATGTGGAAAAGTTTAAAAATTGTTTTAACATCAAAAAACGTGGTGAGCAATTATTGGCAAAAAAAGAGAAAAACAAAAAAGCCAACAATACAATAAACTTGTTTTATTAACAATTTGTTTTTTTTTAACAATTTTTCTCAAAAAAAACAAAAGCAGTTTAAATTTATTTATTTTCGGTAGTTACTCATATGTTGTTCATTCAAAACGCACTTTGGATGCTAAATAATCAAATCATGTGATTCTGAAATAAGATACAGATGATTAAAAGATTTTGTATTTTTGTTTTTATTTCACAAGCCACATTATTGCAAACCTTATTTGGTAAGTGGAAAAAATAAATAAATTAAAACAAAAATTTTTGTTTTAGAATGTTGTCTTATGAAAAGATGACGTGCTTGGAAAGGAAGATAAGTTAAATTTGAAAGAAGTCTTTAACAGAATAGATTTCAAAAAGAGAAAATTTATTTCGTTTGACAAGTATATAAGTACTCAATATTTCTTTTTCTTTATTATATGTGTCATTTATTTGGAAAGTGATTGAAATCTCAATTTTATGAAGTGTTACGTTTATCGGAATGTTAATTAGGAAAAAATTTCTCTTTAATCATGATTTCTTTAAACTGTTTACAAGTTTCAATTAAATTTAGCTAAAAACTGTTTTAATACTTTTTTGAGAATAGATTAATGTTTTTTAATTTGAAATTAATTTGTTAACTATTCTAAGAATTTGTTACCCAATGATTTTTATGGATTTAAAATTAATGGTTAAGGTACATAACCAAAACACCAGGGTATCCCACATATAGTCTAAGCCATAAACTAGTTAATGGACTAGTATTTATACTAGTTCACGGACTAGTACAAATGCTAGTCAATAGACTAAGCCATAAACTAGTTAATAGGCTAGTCCATAGACTTTTAAATATAGTCTATATACTACTTCAGATAATAGTTTATTTTAAAGAACGTTTAAAAAGGGAAAGTAATTTAGTACTTAAAGAGTACTCTTTCAGCAAAGGTTAGTACTGCTTCAAGATACAAATTTTCCATACCCGTTTCAGGTTTACAGTTTGGCACTGCAAATGACTTATATTTAGTTATTTTAAAGGTCCCATAACATTAGTATTCAATTCTCAAAAGTATTTAAATTTTATAACTTTTGTTTTTGACACACATTCGGTAAACGAATCTCATATGTAAACCAGTTTTAAATGTTAAATCAGTTCTGTTTTTTAAGTCCAAAGTTAAATTTAGAAGGAAGACTTGATATGCGGACTACTTACACCGATCTTTATAGGATTTGTTAAAGTGATTTTTGTGAATGAAAGCTTGGACAATTTCTGGGCCGAACTCCTGTAAGAAGATTTTATCAATTATAAACTTTAAAGCCATTTTCTGATTGAACCCTGAGTCTTCGGCAATGGAGTGTCAGGCTAACAAATGTTTAACCCAGCGATCAAAGTGTACTTTTTATAGGATTTTGTTGAATCCGAATCTATCCTCAGAATTTCTCCATAGCATGTGGGATTCGAGATATCGTGTCTTGAGGGTTGAAAAAATACAATTTTGGGTCCTTTTTAAGACGTTATAACAGCGCCAAGACATTTTTATTTATAAAATTTCTTTAAAGGCTTGAAACTCTCCTTTTTCGAGATATCTACACCTAAAGCTTGATACAACAATAACTTGATAAAAACTTATATATTCCAATTTTGCAAATATGTTCCTATAAAAATCTGCTATAATTGCTGAGATATCATCCATTGAAGTTGAAGGACAGACAGACATCGTTAAATTGAGTCAGAGAGCGATTTTGAGTCGGTTGGAACATCCAGAGATAGGTGAGAATCCAATATTTTTGTTCGTTATAAGAAATATTAACAAAGCATAATAAACTCCGCACTGTAGTAGTGTAGGGTATTAATACCATAAATACACCAAAAACCATGAGTTTTCAAGCTTTATGTAAAGATATCTCGAAGAATAAAGAAGATATGTATGTACAAATGTCAAATGTAAAGCTGACAGTATTTCAGATGGTATACTTCACTTTAAAAACAAAGTTGTCTTGGCGCAGTTATAACGTCTCAAAAAGGGCCACAAATGGCGTTTTTTCCAAATTCAGAATAGATATCTCAGAGTCGCTCGAGCGACTCAATCCTTTAAAAAAGTATAACTGGGTCTCTGGGTTTCGTGTTTTTAAAATTTTGTCGACCTGTGTTATTATCATATGTACATAAAATCATGATAAAAATCTAGAATATTGACAGAAATAAGAAAAACTTTAATTAAAACTAAAAAAAACAATTATTTTATTAAAGTTAATGAGAATACCACACCAGAGTTTTTCTCTATCAAGCATGAACTTTGACTTTCTACTTAAAGTATAACTTTCTCTTTTGTTTTTACTAAAAAAGAATATGCAAACAAAAATAGCCACAATCCTATAGAAAAGAATCAGAAAAGCAAAACAAAATAAAAAATTGAAAAAAAAACGGAAATAATACTAATTAAAACAAAACTCTCTACGGTTTCTTTTCTCTTCCATAAACAGTTATGCTCTAAATAATAGCAGTTTAAGATCATTTCCTAGACTATAATTAAACACAATGTAGTACGTACTACTCCATGTTAACACAAATTAAAATTAGGTTATAACAATCATTAAGCCGCAATTTTTTTTTGTAAAGATCAGCTCATTAGAGTGCGGGTTAATGTGGCTTTAAGTGGCCTAAACAAATTTAATAAATGTGATCTTTGAACGCCAGAGATTGAAAAAAATATTTCAAAACAAATACTAAAAAAATAAACTGCAACTCTTTTGTTAAACACACCAAAAGAAAAGAAAAACAAAAATACCGTTATTTTGTAATGAGCTCATGCTGCTAACACTATTTCTTGTCTCTCTCTCTTTTCGTCATTAAATCTTAATCATTTACTTATATTCCTGTTGTTTTTGTTCTTTGTCAGTTATTAAAACTGTAAACAAATGTTGTTGTTGCCTGTTGCCAATCATTTTTAAATGTTTTTTTTTTTTTTTTTTTTTGTTTAACAGTCATATGGCAATAATTAAATTTAATAAACTCTCATTATGATTGACATTCATG